AAATGTAAATTCAGATATATTAAAACAGATTGCTTTAAAAAGAAAACAAAACTCTCCCTTACCTCTAAAATAGCATAATCAAACTTCCCAGCAATGTAGACAACATTTCCTGTTGGGTAAAGAGTGCGCAACCGAAGGCTGACATTTAACTCCTTCTCAAGCCATGGTCTGGTAATAGTATAGTGGGCATAGCTTCTCCCTGTCATTGACATGGGACTGTAACACACATTCTGGCAGTTTGTTTCATTGTCTTGACAAACTGGTCCAGCAATTCCCTCTGGACACTCACAAGAGTACCCCAAAGCAGATCCATCAGGTATGCACATCATGTTATCAGGACATGGCTTATTTGCACATTTATTGACTGCACTGTCACAACGTTCACCTGAATATGAGAGTTGTGTCAATAAATCATTGAAAAATAAACACAGCACCTTAGTTGAATAGGTAAGAAAAAGTTTAGTATTTTGGAGAGAAACTAATTTTACCTGAGTAACCCTGTGAGCAATGGCAAACAGTTTCAAGTTGATGATGAGGTGATACAAAACTTGATAGTTGTGTGCTTACAACCGTAACTGCAGATCTATTTAGAGAAACCCTGTCTTCACAGGTCCCAAAGGCACAGAATGAGTCTGTACAATGCCTTTGAGCCACTTGGTCAAGTACAAGCCCTGTTGATGTCTCCAGATCCTCAATGTGAGATGAAAGTACTTATGTTTCGTAGATTGTCCACAGGAACAAATCCAGCACCATTTGCACTTCGGACAGCAAACAGAACCATAAGGAGATTTGAATAACTCCTCTTCACTATTCGAGAGGAAGATGTGTGGGCGTCCTACGTAACAAAGGAATTACATGGAAATGTGGAAAATAGAATTCTATGAAAATTCTTGTGGATTTCAAGACATACCCGAGCACTGACAAGAATTACATCTTTGGCCTTAACAGCAAGAATTTTATGCATTGCTCGAATGAAACATGAAACCCTTGCGGTGATTCTTCAGAAAATCTTGAGCTGTTATTCCTACAAAACTGATACTCAGTGAGTCTTTCAACATTACATCTGATACTAGCTCCACCCAAACCTGAAACAGCAATTTTTGTTAACCGCAGATCAGAATTTTAGACATTTTTCAATAAGGGAGTAGATCCTAGTATTGTGGTAACATACCTTAATCGTTGCATATGACACAAATTTTCCATCACTCACTGATACATTCAGTTTGTACTGGCCAACGTCAAGCTGAGGAGAGGCCACAATAGATCCATTATTGGAAATAATATTGAACAAAGCAGGCTGACTAGCTGCAGGTTGCTCTGTTGCCATTGGTACAAGTTTGTACGCAAGTTGATCATACATGTCTTGATCAGAAGCATGAATTCTTCCAACCTCTCCACCAACAAAATTATCTTGGAAGGAATTGATCCAAATTTCTAGAGGAGTAACAATAGGAGGGTACTGGGACTCTTCCACAACCTGATAAGACACAAAGAAAACACAGATTATCCCTTCATTCACAAATTTTGCAATATGTTCAAAGTTTAAAGATATGCACAGACCTTGACAACCACCCAAGTGTCTGACGATAATGGTGGAAGTCCATAATCAAATACTCCAACTTGTAGCACATATGTATCTTTATTTTTATGGTTAAACTTTGCAGCGGTGCGAATATCACCATTTTGTTCAATGCGAAACATACCAGCATCATTGCCGGCAACTATTTCAAAAGTGAATGGTTCAGTGTTTGGGAATGTATCAGCATCCGAAACAGTTAAGTGGCATAGAGCGTAGCCAAGCGGTTTGTCCTCCTAAAACGATGAAAGGTGAAAGATAGATACAATATTAGACATACATAAATGCAAGGGCTCCACAGTTCATTATGATTTCTTGTTTGAAAGTATTGTTACCTGAACAACGGCTGTGTAATTCTTTTCAGAGAAAACTGGGGCATTATCATTTACATCAGAAATTTCAACATTGAGAAGGGCAATGCTTGAAAGAGGAGGTATGCCACCATCAACTGCTTCAACTTCAAGAACATAACTTGACAAAACTTCTCGATCAAGTGGTTTAGCAACAGAAATGTATCCAGAAGAGTTGTCTGACGCAAATTATCTCCACCTCTGATTTTGTATGTTATTTGCCCATTTATATCACTATCAAAATCGCTAGCAGTCACCTATAAAATAAAGGAATTACATTGTATAAAAGATTCGAGTCATTGTTGAACATATACCTATGAGAATTAAATTGACATGTAAATTCACCTGAAGTATTTTTCCACCAATATCAGAGTCTTCCCTTATACGAGCTGAATATGAAGGTTGGTTAAAGATAGGAGCATTGTCATTTCCGTCTGAAATGGATATATTGATTGTAGCTTGGTTGCTTAGTGGGGGCT